GGGGGGGGTAGGACAGAAGAGTATTTCAAAAAATGACGTAAGAGACAAACATAAAAGTAGAAAAAATGGTGAGGTGAGTACTGCGGAAGTAGTCGAATATGGCATACAGTGGGGTGATGGTAGTTTGAAGTGAGAAGTCAACTGCCAGTTAATAGACTTTTTGCCGTATGAGTATACGTTGCCCAGGGTGCACCACGTGGAGGTAAGTCTATCGCACACCCCATTTAAGAATATATAATGCTCCTCGTTTAAAATGAAATTATGGGCGATATAACAAACTTGTTACAAACAAAACCTACAAATGGACATTGGTAATTTATAATAAGTACGGAGCTCAACAATTTAATGGCCTTTTATAAAGCAGGAGTATTTGCGGTTCAAATCTCATTGCTGCAAATGCACTTTCGAATTTCCATTCATATTGTATTTACAGATAAGAAAACTTGTCTAACTAGGCGTTAAATCCAATTTTTTATGATAAAATTAAAAATATATATCTTTTATTACCATCTTTGGATTCCAGCCGTAGTATTAAATGGAAGCTTATTATAATGTGCAAAAAGTTATATTTTTCAGTCATTTTGATATTTATCATTTACCCTTTAGCTAACTTCGGGCTTCAAAGTAGGGCGAAACATTAAAGTGGGAAAAATTGGACAGGGGGAAGAAGAGCAATTCACAGATCTAAAAGAGACAGATCGACACTAAGGCAGAGAGAAGGCTAGATGAGTACTGTGAAGAGGTCGAATATGACATACCATGGGGTCATAGTAGTTTGAAGTCAGAAGTCAATTGCCAGTTAATGGGATTTTTGTCATATAATATTTGCCAAATATACCCCATTTCATGTGCCTAGCTCAGGTAAAATGTAATTTGAAACTGCTATAGCTTCAAAGGCTACAGTATCTCAGTTCCAACTAAGGATGATGTGAAGGATTTATAACTATTATGTTCATTTATTTTACGAATATCTTTAATTATTTAAATATTTACATATTTTGCTCATTATTGTACCGAAAATTATTCGAGTGATGATCTAATTTGCCCAGTGTGCTTGTGAATGTTCAATAATTGGGGAATCAGCACATGTTAGATGAATCTTTCAAGTTTATCTCGAGCGCAAAGAAAACGTTTGAGTGCTGAAACGGTTGACTTTCCGAAATAATTTTATATTTTCCCTGTAATATTGACATTTCTCTTTAGCAATTAATAATTAAAATTATCAAAATCTACCTTGTTGTGAAAAACAATATTTGTTCAAATAACAAGAATATCAGCTGGCTGATTACATCCATAATTCTAACAATACTTGCAGTATTCATTTTCATATCAATCTACCTTTTTTGCTGGATCACGAATTAGGGCTGCCATAATTATTAACGGTATAATGACCTATGGTAAAAGGAAGTTTAATAAATTTAATGTATGTTTTTATTTATTATGAAATAATCACATCTTTTACCTTCTTACAGCCCAAATATTCTATTTGTATCCCTAATTACCTTGATGAATTAATAACAGTTTCTAAGAATTGAATTATTATCTTTTAATAAAGTTGTCTATTTCTTAACTTGAAAACACTTTTAATGATTATTTTAGGGTTTTCATAACTTCGTTTTTATTAACCACAGGTGCATAACATTAAAAGATCAGCCAATTTCGTATTCATTTGCAAGCGTTTACTTTGACTTTCTTTGCCAGTTTATTTTTATTTAAGCCACCATTGAATCTCATTTACCACAATCTTAATTTGAATTTGTTTTCTTATTTAATTTTTTTGATATGAAAACTTAAATGAAGCAGTAGCCTTTTTGAATTGTTTTTAGGTTTATTTTCGTAGAAATTCATATATATTTATATTGGAATAATTTGGCCATGGCTGAACCAAATCCATGGGACGAAATGCCCGTCAATACAAAGCTAAAACTTAAGGAGCCTCAAGAAATAAAATCCCAACTTTCTCTGTTTTCTCGACTTAAGACTAAAATGCTCTCTTCGAATAATATTCTTCCAATGTTGCCAAAATTGACCAAACAACAATCCTCTTTGCTCTCAAAGTTTTCTAATGATGATGGAGTAGGGCCAATACAAGTTTCGTCCTTAACGTCACCCTGTTCGGTACATACCTTGGATAGTGAATCTAAGGAAAACATTTCATTTGTTTCTACTGAACCTGACATTGTTTCGTTCTCCGAATTAACTTATGAAGAACAGAATAAATCGGTGAAATCAAGTAAAATATTATTATTGATTATTTACCTTTTTCTAGCGTCAAAATTTACAATGCCTATGCGTCCCAGTTTAGTTAAGCCTAAGTCAAGTTCCCGTGCTATCAAGAAATCGGGTTCATTTTTATCAAACCAATTTCGGGATTTGGCAGATCTTGATACCAAGCCCACAGGTTCATTTCTGTTCCTTTAGTATACGTGGTCCGTTTAGGTAATGAAACGACGCCCTTTGCGAATCAGTCTGATTATGGCACAACTAAGGTTTTGGATGGTTTAACACAGCCTCTTTTAAAAGAGACTTCATCCTTTTATATTTCATCACAAGATTCTTTTGATAACATCGTCCCAACTTCTTGTAATCCTGCGCCAACAATTAACCACTTGTCTGAAAAATCATCAGCGTTGATTTCTGCACCTTCTTTGGACCAATCATCAGGTTGCTCAGTTCAACCAATGGAGAAGTCCGGTTCCTCTTTTCTATTGCCAAGTTCTTCAAGTTGCCATGGGAAGAGATCCCGTCCAACCCCCACGGGTAATTATCTGAAGCTCAATCTTCGCAAGAAATGTTTCAGCCGTGGTGGAAGTAGACGTCAAGCTCGAAGTCGATTTGCAGTGCGAAATGCCAAATACGCAGCTAAGTTTGGCAATTGGAAGAAAGGAGGTGGAAAGTTTGTTGCCAAGAGTGGTCGGAAGGCGTGTGGGACATGTTTTAAATGCGGCCAGGAGGGCCACTGGGTAAACAAATGCCCCAAAGTCATATATGGAATGTCCGCTTCCAAACCCTCTACTCAGGAGATTGAAGAGATGGATCCGGATTATAGTCATGCAGAATGGCGCATCACTGATGTTGATGAACTCAACGTTCAGTTTCCCAATGGGCCTCAGTTGGCAGATCTTTTAAATTATAGTTGTCCTTCCACGAATATGCAACTCTCTCCAATACTAGGTGATGGCGCTTTTGAGATTGAAAAAGTTAGGGAATATATGACTGAACTTTTGAGTGAGATGTGTATCGATTCATTTCGACCAGGTCAAGAGCGTGTTATATGGAGATTATTAGGAGGAAAATCAACCCTTCTTATCTTACCGACTGCAGGTGGAAAGTCCCTGTGTTATCAAATTCCTGCTGCCGTATACCAAGTAAGTACTTTCTCTTAGGGACTAACAGTGAGTTGTTTATGTTCGAGTTTTTTTCGAATTTTGACATCTTTTTAGCATTAAACCTACTTAACAAGAAGTCCCTGTTTGTCTAATCAATGCGCTTTAATTTATCCGTAATTTAATATTATTTGACGTACGCATACTATCTAAGTGGAGCAAATATTTGGTAGTTGGTGTGTTAGTATGAATACAAGATTTATAATCCTGCATCCGGATATACAAGATCACCACTGAAGCATTGAATCTCACGTGTCTTATTCTTTGTAATAAGTGTTATCAAGTTGCTTCTGAGCGTTTCCGTTGTAGAAATTTTGCCCAAACTCAATAGCTCTGGTCATATCACCACTTATATCCCTCATGCAAGATCAAATTCTCTCTTCCTTCTCCCCAATTCGCGGTGCCTATTTGAGTTCAAGTCAAACTAAGGACGAGAAGGAGGTCATTCTTCAAGCGATCAAGGCTGGTCAATATGCCTACGTATTAATGTCACCGGAAGCACTTGTTGAAACGGATTGGATCCTACGAAAGAATTGCCTCCCGCCGATTAGTTTTGTTTGTGTAGATGAGGCCCACTGTTTGGCTGATTGGTCACATCATTTCCGACCCTCCTATCTGCAGATTTGCAACCTTCTTAGAACTCGACTTGGAATCACTCGATTTCTAGGTACCTTTATATACATTTTTATCTATAAATCTTCTAGATGCTTTATAAGTGTACCGAGTCATCGACTTACTACGAAATTCAGAAAGCATTTACACGAAGGCAAGGCTACTTGGGGTAGTATATTCTCCGGCCGATAAATGATAATGACCATTTATAACCTTACTTTCAGTCAATCCCCGTGTACAGAATTTTGTTACTTGTAGTGGATCTCCTTCATTTCAGTGCATTTCTTGCTTTTCTTAGGGTTTTGCGTCGCTAGAATAGACTAATTACTATTACTACTACTCTTTTCTCGATGACCTTTCGCGTGGACCTGTCGTGTATTTAATTTTGCTCTGACTTATTTGATAAATTTGTAATCACCAAGCGAAATGAAATTACACTCATCTGGTTTTCTTTGTATCATTATTGGAGGCAGTCTAGTAATTTGTGGTTTGGTTTGTAAACTTCCTTTTTGTATTCGGGAAAATGATGGCAAATGCCGCGGAGTTTTCATGCACACTTTTGGCTACTCATTGCGTTATCATGTTAAGAACATGATAGGAGAGTGGGAGACAAATTAACTTATGATTTCACGACTTTGAGTCTGTAGTTGATCAGTGAATATATTTCTTTATCTGACCTTACTAATGCTTCCTTTCGTTAGGACTTTCTGCAACTTGTACACCTTTAACAATCAGGAATATATGCTCCAATCTGGGCATCGGCGAGGCCATCAAACTGGATGCTAAATGTAACAGCGAAGAAGTATTAAGTTCCTTTGAACCAGCCGGTGGTTATCTTCAGCCCATATCCTGCCCTATTCCTAGCAATCTTTTGGTTACGGCTTCAATGGACCATAACAGAGATGAAGCTCTAATTAAAATGCTTCAAAGACCACCATTCTCCGAACAGTTGTCTATTTTAGTCTACGCTGCAACTCGAGATCTCACAGAACGCTTGGCTGGTTACATTCGAACTTATTTGCAAGACGTGAAGGAAAAGGTGACCTTTTCACCCTAACAAATAGAATTACTTAAATACTGTATGGGTAGTGTTAATATTAGCCTTTATTTACAGATAGGTAGACGTACTGTTAGTTGGAATACAGCGGTATACCATGCTGGTCTTCCTTCAAAGGTACGTGACCGAGTCCAAAAGCGTTTTATGTCAGGAAAAATTCGTGTTCTCGTGGCAACTTCAGCTTTTGGTATGGGATTGAACAAGCAGGATTTACAGGCGGTCATTCACTACTCCCTTCCAAAGTCATTTGAGAATTATATTCAGGTATGGCATTGATGAAAGTCGCCTCCAATTTAAAATCTCTAAATGATGTGGATGGCTTATTTCGCAAAATAATCTCGTTAGATAAGAATAACTATTTTTTATCCAAAAAGAAAAGAAAAGGAAGTTTTTCCCTTATTCCTTGATTACTATTCAGTTCGGAATTTGTTCCTATTGGGGAGTAACAGCAATTAAATTTATGACATTTTGTATTATGGTGAAACTAACATTCTCGCAATTGTTTGAGGTGTTCTACACTTTATTTGGAAAATATTCTCCCTAGAATAAATTTCAAGGCTCTGAATGCGTGATTACTTCCATCGCATCAACTTTTTATGTTTCCTTACCTTAACCTATTAAGCATTTGCATCTGTTAAAAATCCCCATTCAATGTGTTCCTTAGTGTATTCGTGGTCCCAAATTGGGCGTATTCCTCAAATCTTGATACAATAAGCACAATACGTTTTTAGTTCGAGTCTTTTCGAATTCGACGAGAAAAGAGGGGAGACTTCGTTGGCTCTTGAGGAAACTGGGTTCTGTCGAATGTAAACGTAAATTAAAGTTCTGCAAACTCTGTTTCTATGAAGGCTTTAAGGTTATTGAAGAAGCTTTCGATCAGAACGCCTTGCTTACAAACAATCGCTTTAGCTGCGACAAATCAGTAATCAAGAATGGCTAGGACTTATATGATTTTGGATTGTGATAACTTTAACTTCGTTAGCTAACAGATTAACATTTCAGATGTCTTATTTTCATTTATGAAATTCAAGGAGGCTCTTGGTTGCCACTATGGACTCATCTCACTCATGAATTAGCTCTTCTTGATTCAGTCATCACATTCACGCGTCTGGTGTTCAAAATATTTTCATCTATGTCTCGATCCACACTATTTATTCCACATTCGATTCCTTATCCAGAGCAGAAATCATCACCTTATCTACGCTGACGAGGTCGGCATTTCCCTCATCAATTTCCTTTCAAGCAGAATCGGTTCGAGCGGTAGACAGTGGCGATAGATTGGATGCAAAAAGTTTGCTATCCACAGGTGTCATTACTCCCAAGTTGTCCACCCAAAAGCATGATCAAGATTATCAAGTCTTATCAAATTCACCTGGATATTAATACCTCAATAAAAGTATATGCAGCAGGTTCAATTTAGCCTGCTTGTTCTGCACTGGCTCTGTCAATTTGGTCCTTTAGACCTGTTCGTAAGTACCATCCTTAATTGGGTACATTCACCAGCACGTCGGAACTAATGATCCCGTGTTAAAATGAAGTGTTTCAAGAAGCTCCTTGTCTACTTAATCGCTGAGGGGGGGGGGGGGGATAAAACAAATGAGTTCTCATCCAATTTTCCTCTTAACCGGCAATTACCACTAGCAGCTCTCCTTCTATATCAGACGAACGAAGAGTTCTTATACCTTTTTCCTTTTTAAAATGGCCTGTATAGTTGATTTCAGACAATTCGATGGTCTTTATGGAAGACGAAACGCATCTCCCCTTATTTGATTCTGTTCACAAACTTCAAATAACTGCAGGAGATATTAACTATGCGATAGCCACAGATTTTGCGCTGCAGAAGCCCATATCATGCGTTTGTACATGATGGTGTAAATCAAATCAAGAGTGATTTCCAACAATTTTATGTACAATGGGATGACCCGTCTACTATTAATTCTTTGAACACGCACTTAGCATGCTTTATTCTATAGCAGTCATCCGAGTGTTGGCTGAATGAAATCTATCGCAAGAAGGTTTGTCTGGGGGTAGACAACCACATCAGTTTTTTAAAAAATTCTTAATGTAGACATGCGGCTAAGCTTCCTCCACACCATCAACATTGCCCGTGCTCTAAGATTTTGATTTTGCTGGATCTGTCAATGAGCTTTCATATCTTGTAGTAGATTCGCACTCAAAGTGGCCCGAAATTATTTCACCAAAGTCTACCACTATGTTTCTTGATAGCCTTCGCTATGTATTTTCAAATTGTGGGCCTACAGAGGCTATTGTAACCAACAACGATACTCGATTCCCTTTCGCTCCTTTTTAATACTTCTGTCGGCGTCTATTCCCTGTCTTATCATCTTTAGTCAAATGATAAGGTAGTGATTCGTTTGCAACCTGAAGTAAACACTTTAGAAGTCATATGAAATGGGAAAGGCAGACGAGATTCCCTATGCTCACTCCTTTCATTGAATTGAATGACGTTACATCCGATGCTAAATGACTGATGTCCTGTACAAACTCTCGATGATCCACAGTGATCTACTTCCATGGGATTCAACTTTCCCTCTTTAATCTCCATGTATCGGTAAGACTCTTGAAGCAGTACAACAGTTTAAATTGATGTCTGTCGGCCGAATGACACATGGGTAGTGGGATATTGTGTAGTAAATCTTGATGGCCAACATTTGCTGTCATTGAAATCATCTCTCCTACGTGGAGCAAATTCATTGAAACTATCAAAGGGTCTTTTGGATATCATCTTGGATGTTTTTGCCCCCCCCCCGCCCCACTTCCCCCACCTCATGCAAATAATAGAACTCAGGAAATTCATCCAAAAAGTTAACAAAACCCTCTCTTACAATTTCACAGGGATCTCCTAAGAGGATTCTCGATAAAAAATAACTGAAACTTAAAGGAGCAGTTAGGAATCTAGGCGTGTAAATAGCTGATTGTGGTTTTCATAGCCTGAAACATTAAGAGATTTCGATGTGACTCTATTTTATAGAAAATGCAGCAAGCGAGATCTAAAAATGGGCATTGATTTAAAGACAGATGAGGCAAGTTAGTATGTATGGGTGTTTGCGTAAGGAGTTCGAAAGGTAGAGCAATGTACCGGAAAGTATGAAAGGTTGCAAGAGTTGGGGGCAATCGACCATCCTGTCACAATGATCACTATCTTCTCCCGTAGGAGATCGTGTGCTTGAGTAATTGGGTCATTGCGCACGGGTAGGTGCCTCTGCATTGGCTCCTATGATTATTGTTTTCAATTCTTAGGTTGCAACGCGCTTTACAGTTTGTATAAACCATTTGCAAATGTTAATGCTTTATCAGCGACCATCAATCATGACTAACGCAAAATTGAATGGGCACTAGTTTTTAATTAGCTTGTATTTCCATGGTGGCGTAATTGAATTACAATTCCTGGGATATGGCATACGTGTACTATCATTATCTCACGTTCGTAGAACATATTAATAACTATAGTTTGCAAATCCATCTTTCAAACTTTAGCCTTTCCTTTTTTGTGAATCTTTACTTTAAATCTATGCGCCCGGTCTCATTGTTTTGAAAGGGAGAAAATTAAAGCTATAAATGTTGATGTAATTGTTTGGAAATATCTATGAAATTACCCTTCTCTCCCTTATTTGTTATCTACAAATTTTAAACGGAGTTTGGGCGAGTTCTAGATACTGTCTAACTAAACGCTCGCCACTAATAAAGTGGATGGCCAATCTCTTAATCCCCCCCCCCCCCCCAACTGATCAAACGGCCTCACATATCTAGCACAACAATTAACTAAAAAATCTTGAAGTCCGACTCGTAACAGGCACCCCAGAGTGCACTAGTGTCATTGCCAAGTCTGCTCATGCACCCGAATGTCTCTGTTTTATTCAACAGCACCCTTTCTCCAATGTAAGCAGACCAGATCCTCTGCATTCCACCTTCACAAACGCAATTTCTATCTCCTAACTTCTTAGGGCTTTTATTGCCCTATTGAAGCTCTCCAATCAACCATCTCTCTATTTTACCACTTGACAAAGAATTGTACAAGGTGGAAGATATAGCTTTAAGAACAGCTAGAGGAAAAGGCATACTTTTGTTGCTATAACAGCCAATTCACAAAGTAAAAGTGAACAACCTGATTCATCCAGGTTTCCCGATTTCGATTTCTGTTTCTGAATTAGTTTAATCATCCATTTTTTCAAGTCCTTTCTCGTGTTTAAAATTGATTGACGTTGCTATGAGTAGTAAGTATAATAACAGGGTTGATGCATGTATATTGAGCACAGTTATGGACAATCATCGTTGTCCTCACAATGTGATGGGTTATTGGAGTAGATGTTTGATAATACATCGGTTTCGGAATTTCCGCACTGTGACTCGTTTTTTACTGCTTTTGTGCCTGTTGAGCAATAATTAACTCGCTATTTCCTACACTTGCAGGAAATCGGTCGAGTAGGTCGGAATGGACAGCAGTCCTACTGCCACACATTTCTTCCTCCTGGTTTCTCTTCTCAGTCAGAGGATGCCGATGAAGACGGTGAACCCGTAATAACTCCCGAGGAGTCTCGTGAGGCCAATGAGCTACGTCGCCACATATTCGCAAACCACATTGACACAGTGCAACTCAAACGCCTCCTCAACCTAATTGCTGGAAGGCGGAGTCGAGTGGTTGCATTGGATCCTGATCAGATCGCTGAGGAGCTTGATATTAAACCTGAGAGTCTGGCCACTCTGATTACCTACATGCATCTTCGTGCGGATATGCAACCGTTGGTATCGATTCTACCGTCGTGGCCTGCAGTAAGCTTTTCGTTCGTCCAATTCGTTTTGCTTCCAGCAGTCGAGAAGATTAAATTGTACTCTGTCTCGGTTTAGTTATTTTCCACTCGAGTTCAGTTTCCAAAGATAAAGAAGCTAAAGTAATTCTAATCCCAAGTAAACTTGCTTTCAATACTCCACCGAATTACCCTGATAATCCCTTCCCTCCCCCTTCGAATTTATGTTCTTCCCAAACATAACAGACAACAGCATCCTTTCCAGGGTGATAAGACCAAGAATTATGTGGGATTACGGGTTTATTCTATAACTGACAATGATTGGGAGAAGAAGGCAGGAAGGAGTTGAAGGAGGAGACGTCAGTATGATGTGATGACAATCCGGATTGTGAAGAACAGGAGAAATTTTGTACATCAGAACAGTTGGTAGATTTCGCTTTCTTCGTTCTATGATAGGGTTAGGGTTAAGGTGTGCACGGAGACTGAACTGATGACGCAGATCGAATAAGAGATATTCAATTTTGATAAATGTAAAAGACTTAAAGTATATCTAACGTTATTCTTATTGTGATAGAATGAGTTGCGATATCCATGAATCCACACCGTGTGATAGTGGCTAATTCTCAAATGCCATTATAAGCTAATGTTTCCTCAATTTTGCCTACCCATTGTTATATACAACCACTGCTTTTATAGCCTTGCTTGAAAGGATTAATGTTTTCTTGTTTTTCTTTTCTATCAATAGAAAGTCACCTTCAGTTGTTACGGTGGCCCACTTGAACTGGCCCGTGTCTCCACTAAATGCCTTGCCATGTCAGCGTGGTTAGGTCACCTAAAATCCCAAGCCATTCCCGGCACTCCCTTCCCTTCTCCCACTTTGCGGGAAGTGACCATTGATCTGTCCCTGTTGTGCAATAACTGGGGATGGAAACCGGATTCCGTGTTACGCGAACTTCGTTCTTTTGAATGGGATACCACGGGGCCCTCTGGAGCACCACGACGTAGTGGGGTCAGCGTTTCTCTTGTGGGGTCTACGCGAGCAACCTGGTTGTGGGTTCATCCCCTTCCTACTGGCTCTTCTTTATCTGAGAGACTCGACGCTGAGGTTGTCTACTTGAGACACAGGTTAGGTGAAGTGGAACGAGCTGGTTTGCGTAGTCTTGCTCAATTGCAGTCTGCTATTGCTCTTGTCGCAGCTCGATGCATTGATGATATTGACTTTGAGGATGAGCATGTTAAGAGTAAATCAGATCAACTTCATTCTCGTGTGGAGGCACATTTCTGTGAGACGATTGATGAAGAAGCCGTAATGGCTTCTTGGCCGAGGCCTATTACTAAAGAAAAAGTAAGTTTTACTCTGTTCTTATTTTTACCGTTTACGCAGACTTGTGAGAATATTTTTTTTATTTTTGTCCGATCAACATTTAGACAATGGAATTAGCAAAAAACGAGGTGGTGGTCTTCTATTCTATTCCTGTTCATTATTAACATTTCGTCATTTAATGCAAACGAGTCACACTGCAATTCCTGAGAAGTACATTGGGATTGATTTTCAGCTGGGGAACTAATGTAGTGCGTATTATCTGTAGGGAAGTTTGAATCATTCAAAAGTGACCACCTTCGTTCGTTTGAACCCATCGTAACGCAACCTCTATGAAGACGATAGGGCCTTGCTTTTATGAATTAACTAATCAAATTTTATTAGCCTTTAATATTTGATATCGGTCATTCCAAGCACTATTCTTGAGTTGGTACAAAATGGGATATCGCGCGGTCTTCGCTTTAAGTGTCTGCTCTAGGATGTCTCGAGTTGGATTGAGGGAAAGTAATATAAATTTATCTGCTGTCTCGGTGTTTTGAGTATCAGTTGCTGTCAAACCGACGCGTTCAGGTTAAGTGGAAAAGCTTACTTTTAGCTTCCTTATCAGATTTTCCGTCTACTCGTCATTCTAAAACACCAAATATTTCAACTGTTTATTAGTTTTTTCTTAATATAAATTGAGCAAGGAACGCATGTGGTGTAAAGTTTATGCCTCCCAAGTTTATTATGGGTAGAGGAAAAGTGTGTTTTAGAGGCACTCTTATGGGAGTCTAGCATTCTTCCATCTCCCGCCAAGCTGGTTGGCCATCGACATCACTGGGTTCTCATCTATGAGTATTGATTTCATTACTTCTGATTTTGAAGGATACAAATTAGTTACCATGCCAATTGCACTGACATTTCATTTCAGAAGGAAAAGTCTCGCGTATTGTACGGCCGATCTTGATGGTCCATGTGAAGAACACGTGGCCTTTCTAATGGCTTGAACCTCGGTTAATGTGAAGGAGATAATTTAGGTCCGAAACTTGAGCTTTTTGGAGTTGAAATGTAGTGTTTTAACATGTATCATTTCTATGATGAAATTATGCTGTGCTTATGTAACCCTAGGTATGTATGATAGCTCTTCATGCCCTCTAAGAAAATACTGTAACTACCTTTGCTCCAACCCTTTCCCTACCCTCAAAAGTGCGATGAGAAGATTGAGGCTTTGTAATTCCACGACGGGTTAACTTTATTAAGGAGTTCGCAAACAGCCACTTTAACTAACTCTCCATCAGCACACGAAACAGTTGATAACACCAGATATTCCTGGACTATTATTGTTGTAATAACTAACCTAACCCCCCCCCCCCTCCTCACGTATTTTAACTTCGATGATCAAGGAAGACTCGACATGGCCCGCTTACATTAAGGAATTACATGGGTTTTCATAGCTTGTGTTGCATGAGAAATAATTTTCTTCCTAGTCGATATTCGTGATATTCGAATATGCTTATTGTCTCGTAATAGAAGGGTCAAACGAACTGGAATGTGGTTTACTTGCTGTCGTTAATTGCTTGCTCCTTTCCATGTGAATGCCTACTATGGCTTCTTTGTTTTTGTTGGTGTATTTCAGGAGGAATCTGTGTGCCGAACAGTGAGTGAGTTCTTGCGTCTGCACAGCGAGTCTGTGGCAAGTGGCCAGGTGACCGGTCGTGTGATGGCCAACATCTTCCAAGGCATCGGCTCACCCAATTTCCCAGCCTACTCGTGGTCTCGTGTGTATCGATTCTGGCGCGCCCATCTTGATGTTGATTGGCCCCAACTACAACGCATCG